GTCCCTCTCGCCGCGGCTGCGCTGTGCGCCGGCTTCTCCTCTGCGTGTCTTTTCCCTCGCAGGACGGGGGGCGTCGCACTTCGCCTGCGCCGTGCCGCCTGCTGCGGCGTGTGTGCGGGGTTCTCTTTTGCGCCTCGCCCCCACACTTCTCTGTGTGTGAAGGGAGTGCGGCCGCGAGGGGTTCATCCGTCGCCGCCACGGAGGCGCAGACAGTCGCGGTGAGCCAAAAGAAAAACAGAAACTGCACGACGCATGCGGGAGGCAGCGTCGCCTCGCACGGCGTCCTGCATGATGCGTGCGAACTGCGGCTGCGGCGACTGCGGCGGTGCACGGGCGGGGGGCGTGGCTGCCGGAGGACTCGGGGGAAGTGGCGGCCGCCGGCACGGCGCTCGTGCACGTGCTGCGGGCGCTTCGGTGGGGGAGGGGGCGGCTGCCGTTGGTGACGTTTTCTTTTCGCGGCGGCTGCTGGTGAGTGTCGCGTGGGGCTGCGTGGCGTCCGGCGAGAGTCCCGCGTGGGGTGGGGAGTTCGCGGGGTCGGGGAGCAAACGACGTGGGCGCTGCGAAGGCGGGCGCGGGAGGGGCGGGGTGGGGGCCGCCGGCACGTCCACTTCGTCTTCGCGTGTGCGTGTGTGTAGCGGGAGGGGAAAAAAGGGCCCTTGGGCCCCGCTGCGGTGTGCGGTTTGCCGCTGCGGGCTATCGAGAGGGCACATGCGGAGGAACGTGCACAAAACCGTCTTCTGCCGTTGCTGCCTTTTCTTCCTTAACGGGACGGCAATGCCTTGACCGTTCCTTCTTTCTCTGTTTGTGTGCGTGTTGGTTGAATACACCCATTTCGCGGGCTGCTCATATATATATGTGTGTGTGTGTGTTTGCCCCTTTTTATCTCTCCTTCTCTCTGCCCCTCGCTAGACGCTGTGCGTGTGTGTGTGCTGCGGTGGGAGGAGTGTGGCGATGGCTGGCCGTGCGCTGTTGTTGTGCGCCCTCTGCGCGCTGTGCTGCGCCGCCGGCGGGGGCTGGGCGTGGGACCACCTGTGCGCTGAAGATGGAAAGGAGCTGTTGAACTTTACAGGGGGCCAGAGCTGGAGGTTCTGCCCTTACAACGAAACTTTTGCGGCGACCACGAAAAATAAACCTGCTGCAGCTGCCGGTGTTTCCACGGCTGTCGGTGGGAATGGGCAGGCCGCCGGAAGTGTCGGCGGTGATGTGGGAGCAACAGTGTCGGTTTCCGACGCGTCCGATGGGAACTCACGTGGGACGGATGTGCGGGGCCCCCAGGCAGCGCAACCTCGACCCTCTCCTCAAGTGTCGCCACAACCTCAGAGCGAAGAGGAAGTCGGGCGGGCGCAGAGCACCGCCGAAGATGCGTCAAAAGAGCAAAGAGAAGGAGAAACAGCTGCAATTGCCGAAGGTGCCCGAGGTGACCAGGGGGCTGAAAGAGCAAAGCAGGCACCTGCGCACTCTCCTTCCACAGCTGAGGGCGAAGATGCTGTCGTCGGCGGGCTGACCAAAGAGCGCACGGTGGGGAAGGCCGCCACGGAGGCTTCACCGCCTGAGAGCGCGGTGCAACGAAGCCCGGTCCAGCGCGGCAATACCCCCGCCGTTACGGCAGTTGCTGGGGAAGCTTCAGAAGCGGCACAAGACACTGCCGGTGGCGGGGGAAGTAATAACTCCGGGAGTAACAGCAGCAGCGGCCCCGCGGTGCAGCCGCAGCCGGCGAGTTCCGTGGCGGCAATCGAGACTGGTGATGCAGAACAAAAGGAGCAGCTCGCAGTGCCCACACCCAAGCAGGAAACGGAAACGAGTGGTGAGAGAGGAGGAAAAACCACTCAGCCGGCAGCGGGGGCGGCTGCTCAAGCGGCGACCACCACCAACTCGACGAGTGCAGCGAAGGCGGAGCCCGGCGACAGCGACAGCGACGGCAGCGGCACCGCGGCCTCGCACTCCGCCTCCCCCCTTGCGCTGCTTCTTCTGCTTGCGTGTGCGGCTGCCGCTGCGATGCTGGCCGCGTGAGGGACTGAGTGAGAGGGACAGAGGGCCGTGCACACACAGCTCGCCCTTTGTTTGTCTCTCTCGCTTTGTGTGTGTGTGTCCCCCTGCACAGACTCTCTCGCCCTCGCTGCACCCCACGAGGCACACACACATAATGTGCTCGTATATATACACAACTCCACTCATGCAGGCCCGTCGGTTTTATTTTGTTTTGCGCCCGACGAGCCGCTGCCGTCCTGCTTGGCTGCATGGGTACAGCACCGTAACTGTT